AAAGACGCCAAATTGAAAAATATACACAGAAGTGTATCAAAAATCAAAAGATGCGCAAAGAGCGCCATTCAAATTGACAAGAGGCATAAGATGAGACAACAAAATTTAATGCTTACCATTCTTGCACTTCTTAAAAGCTTAAGAAAACCCTTTATATTTTTGATGCTTGAGTTTGAAAATCATGATTCCTGATTCAACAATTCCTACATTAATCTTCTATTAGATATATTTTATGGTAGGAGTTTTGAAAAATGGTTGTTTCTTTCTATAATTTATTTCATGATTAGATATTGAATTAAAAGGTTTTTAATCCTTTAAAAGAACTAGAGTTTGAATTATCAAATTCTAAATTTCTAACCTTTTCTGGGCTATGCGTTGTCAATACAATTATACTAAGCTTTTAAATAAAATCAAGATGTATCTTTCTCATTTTAAGAATATTTATTCTGTTCACTAGATCAGGAATTATTTTTATCTTTTAATCATTTTGTTCTTATTGTTTGTGTCCCTTCTCTTTTTGATAATGTCAAAGGGGGAGAACGTATTGTTGTTATTGTATATGTATCTTTTTTCTCTTTAAAAAATTAAAAACAAATTTTTTTTTATCTCCCCTATTTTTAAATGTTTTATTCTAGCGTGGGGGAGATTAGGAGAAAATATTTTTTTCTTTGAAAATTCTAATAGCAATATTTGTCATCATCAAAAAGGGGGAGATTGTTGTGGATCAATTTTCTGGTTTATGATTTTGATCATTGAAACACTTTTATTTCTCTACGTCTACCTTATCTTCTGATATTTCAGGTCCACACGATCAGACTGCAATTTAGAACTAGCTTAAGAATGGGTAGACTAGGTCTGAATCTGTTTGTACCCTTTTTTCTTTCCTGAGTCTATTTTATTTGGTGTGGCTCCTGATGCTTTATAACTTGGAAGATTTCTAACTATTCGCTAGAGTTTACTATTTTTGGTAACATCGTTTGGGATGATTTTATATCAACCTTGACGATCGGTTCAAAAGTAGAAACCCTGATTAGGACATCCTCATTAAAATAGCTGTCATTACGAAAAAACATCATCCTGGTTGATTTTGTATTGGCCGGGATGGTAGGTTCAAAAGAGAATAAATCTGTCGCCAGATCTATTTAGGAATTACTTATTTTTGGACATTGTCCAGGGGATCATCCAGGATTATAAAATATTATTTAGGACGATCCAGGATAATTTTTCCTAAATTAATCTTGAATTTAAGGAAAACAATTATGACTTGATTGGACGATTAAATTCCTGTGAGGGGGGGGGGGGATCAAGGGAGTGTGGAGGGGGATTCCACACGGTTGCTCCGGTAGGGTTGCACCTTAATACCGTCGGATTCAAAGCTTATCTTGTGGGAAGTTCACCAAAGAAGAAGATCTCTTTGGTGTCAAAGGACCCGGCGACTCCGCCGCACTGGGGAAGGTGGAAATAATTTTGTAAGGGCTTCTCCGCCTAGCTGTCGGGGCTAAAGGATAGACACTTTTGTAGTGCAATAATTGGAGGGTTCCTTCAAGGAGTGGATGTAGGTCAAGGTTTGACCGAACAACTATAAATCAAGTGTGTTCTATCCTTTATTACTTCCGCATTTAATTTCTGCATCGTTGATTTCTTTATGGTGATTTTGGTTTATTTTATTTTTTGTTTTAAAGATTCATAAAATACCAATTTACCTCTATCTTTTAATTAGTATTGGGCTAGTTCATAGGGCCTAACATCCCTAATGAACTTCCATGCCGTGCATCTAGAAATGAAACATGCATCGTGGGACCCGTGAAGGCATCCGGTGGGTCATATGTGGCAACCGTACAGGAACATCAATAACTCTTCGGCCAGGATTCTGATTCGACATTATGACCCCATTCTGGAAAGCTTATTCTGATCCGGATGGAGTGATGATGTGCTATAGGCCCATAGACCGGCCATGCGCAGCCAAAAAATACATTTGTGATCCCCTACAATATATCAGAATGAAGATGCATCAAAATTATCTCTTCACATTGTCAACTTAAGAATAATTTGAGACCATATTACTACGGGTGCAACCATACCACCATTAGTGCATCGGATCCCATCAGAACTCCGCAGTTAAGTGTGCTTGGGCGAGAGTAGTATTGAGATGGGTGACCTCCTTGGAAGTGATCGTGTTGCACCCTTTTTTTAACCAACCATCTCTTTTTTTCTAGCTGTTCCCCAAGGCCTGCAAACCTTTGGCGGTGTTGGCTCGCCACGCAAAGAGCCATGAAACCAGCATCGTGGGACCCGTGAAGGCATCCAGCGGGTCCAATGTGGTAATCACGCGGGAGCATGAATAACTTTCCACCCAGGATTTTGATTTGGCATTATGACCCCATTCCAAAAAGCTTATTCTGAGAAGGATGGAATGTCGATGGCCGTAGAACTATCGGCCTCCATGCATAGCCAAAAAAATGCATTTTTGATCCCTTATAATCTGTTAGAATGAAGATGCATCAAAATCATCTCTCCACGGCTTCCACTTAAAAATAACTTGAGACCACATTACTGTGGGAGTGACTATACCAGCACTAGTGCACCGGATCCATTCAGAACTTCACAGTTAAGAGTGCTTGGGCGAGGGTAGTACTGGGATGGGTGACCTCCTGAGAAGCCCTCATTTTTCACCCTTTTTTTTAAATAACCATCTCTTTTTTTTTCTAGCTCTTCGCCAAAGCCTACGAACCTCTGGCTGTGTTGGCTCGCCGAGCATCGAGCGATGAAACCCTCATCGTGGGGCCCGTGAAGGCATCTAATGTGTCCTATGTGCCGACCACGCGGTAACATTAATAACTTTCCTCGCAGGATTCCAATTCAGCATTATGACCCCATTCTGAAAAAGTTAGTCCGACACAGATGGAGCGCCGATGCGCCATATGCCCATCGGCCAGCCATGTGTAGTAGAAAAATGCAATTTTGATCCCCTACGGTCTGTCGGAATGAAGATGCATCAAAATCTTCAATCCACGACGTCAACTTAAGAATAATTTGAGACCATATTACTACTGGTGCGATAATACCATCACTGGTGCATCGGATCCCATCAGAACTCTATAGGTAAGCGTGCTTGGGCGAGAGTAGTACTGGGATGGGTGACCTCCTAGGAAGTTGTGTTGTACCCTTTTTCTTAACTAGCCACCGCTTTTTTTTTTTAGCTCTTCGCCATGGCCTACGAACCCTTGTCCGTGTTGGATCGCCGTGCATCGAGCGATGAAACCCGCATTGTGGGACCTGTGAAGGCATCCGGCTGGTTCTATGTGCGACCGTGCGGGAAGATTAATAACTTCCCCCCTAGGATTTTGATTCGCCATTATGACCCCATCCTAAAAAGCTTTTCTGAGCCAGATGGCGCGCCAATGAGCCATAGGCCCATCGGCCGGCCATGCGCAGCAAAAAAATGTATTTTTGATCTCCTACGGTCTGTTAGAATGAAGACACGTCAAAATCATCTCTCCACGACTTCAACTTAAGAATAATTTGAGACCATATTACTACGAGTTTGACCATACTGGCAAAAGTTCACCTGATCCCATTAGAACTTCACCGTTAAGAGTGCTTGGGCGAGTGTAGTACTGAGACGGGTGACCTCCTGGGAAGTCGTAGTCTTGCACCCTTTTTTTTTTAACCAGCCATCTCTTTTTTTTTCCCTAGCTCTTCGCCACGGCCAATGAACCTTAGTGGTGTTGGCTCACCGTGTATCGTGGGACACGTGAAGGCAACCGACGGGTCCTATGTGGCGACCGCACGAAAACATCCATAACTTTCCGCCCAGGATTCTGATTCAGCATTACGACTTCATTCTAGAAAGCTTATTAAAAGCTGGATGGAGCGCCGATGGCCATAGGCCCATCGGCCAGCCATGCGCAGCTAAAAAATTCATTTTAGATCCCCTACGATCTCTCGGAATGAAGAATCATCAAAATCATCTTTCCACGACGTCAACTTAAGAATAATTTGAGACCATATTACTGCGGTTGCGACCATACCAGCACTAGTGCACCGTATCGCATTAGAACTTCACGGTTAAGCATGCTTGGGCGAGAGTAGTGCTGGGATGGGTGACCTACTTGAAGTTCTCTGGTTGCACCCTTTTTTGAACCAGTCATCTCTTTTTTCGTTTTAGGTCTACGCCACGGCCTACGAACCCTTGGTAGTGTTGGCTCGTCGTGCATTGAGCGATGAAACTCGCATCGTGGGACCCATGAAGGCTTCCAGCGTGTCCTATGTGGTGACTGTGGGGGAACATCAATAATGTTTCACCAAGGATTCATATTCGACATTATGACCCCATTCCGGAAATCTTATTCCGAGCCAGATGGAAGAACGAAACACCATAGGCCCATCGGTCGGCCATGCGTAGCCAAAAAATCCATTTTTGATCCCCCACGGTCTCTCGGAATGATGATGCTTTAAAATCATCTCTCCATGACGTCAACTTAAGAATAATTTGAGACCATATTACTACGAGTTTGACCATACCAGCACAAGTGAATTGAATCCCATCAGAACTCCATAGCTAAGCATGCTTGGGCGAGAGTAGTACTAGGATGGGTGACCTCCTGGGAAGTCCTCATGTTACACCATTTTTTTTAACCAGACATCTCTTTTTTTCTAGCTCTTTTCCACGGCCTATGAACCCTTGGCGGTGTTGGCTCGTCACGCATCAAGTGTTGAAACCCGCATCGTGGGACTATTGAAGGCATCCGACGGGTTGTATGCGGTGACCACCGGGAACATCAATAACTTTCCCCTTAGGATTTTGATTTGGCATTATGACATCATTCTGGAAAGCTTTTTCCGAGCCAGCTGGAGCGCCGAAGGCCATAGGTCCATCAGCCGGCCATGCGCAGCCAAAAAATGCATTTTTGATCCCCTATGGTCTGTTGTAATGAAGATGCGTAAAAATCATCTCTCCACGGCGTCAACTTAAGAATAATTTGAGATCATATTACTACGGGTGTGACTATACCAGCACGAGTACACCGAATCCCATCAGAACTCCGCAGTTAAGCATGCGTGGGCGAGAGTAGTACCAGGATGGGTTACCTCCTGCGAAGTCCTCATGTTACACCCATTTTTTTTAACCAGCAATCTCTTTTTTTTATCTAGCTCTTCGCCATGGCCAATGAACCTTTGGCGGTGTTGGCTCACCGAGCATCAAGTGATGAAACCTGCAATGTGGGACCGATGAAGGTATCCAGCGGGTCCTATGTGGCGGTCATGCGGGAACATCAATAACTTTCCTCCCAGGATTTGGATTCAGCCTTATGACCCCATTCTGGAAAGCTTATTCCAAGACAAATGGAGCCTTAATAGCCATAGGCAATTCGGCTGGCCATGCATAGCCGAAAAATGCTTTTTTAATCCCCTACGGTCTGTCGGAATGAAGATGCGTCAAAATCAACTCTCCACGATGTCAACTTAAGAATAATTTGAGACCATATTATTTGCAGGTGCGACCATACCAGGACTAGTGCACTGAATCCAATCAAAACTTTGCAGTTAAGCGTGCTTGGGCGAGAGTAGTATTGGGACGGGTGACCTCCTGGGAAGTTCTCGGGTTTTGCCCTTTTTTTTAGCAGTCATCTCTTTTTTATTCTAGCTCTTTGCCACAGCCTACGAACCCTTGGCGGTGTTGCTCGCCGTGCATCGAGCGATGAAACCCACATCGTGGGACCCATGAAGGCATCACCGGTTCCTATGTGGCGACCGCAATGGAAAATCAATAAATTTCTCCCAAGATTCTGATTCGGCATTATGACCGCATTCCGAAAAGCTTATTCCAAGCTGGATGGAGCACTGTTGGCCATAGGCCCATCGGCCGGCCATACGCAGCCAAAAAATGCATTTGGATCCCCTACAGTTTGTCAGAATGAAGATGCGTCAATATCATCACTCCACGGTGTCTACATAAGAATAATTTGTTACCATATTACTACGGGTGCGACAATTCCAGCACTAGTGCACCGGATCCCATCAGAACAACATAATTAAGCGTGCTTGGGCGAGAGTAGTACTGGGATGGGTGACCTCCAGGGAAGTTCTCATGTTGCACCCTTTTTTTTAACCAGTCATCTTTTTTACTAGCTCTTCGCCACTGCATACGAACCCTTGGCGGTGTTTGCTCGTCGTGTATCGACCGCAAGGGAGCATCAATAACTTTCTTCTCAAGATTCTGATTCGGCATTATGACCCAATTTCAGAAAGCTTATTTTGAGCCGGATGGAGCGCTGATGGCTATAGACTCATCGGCGGGCGATGCGCAGCTAAAAAATGCATTTTTTTTATCCCATACGGTCTGTTGGAATGAAGATTCATCAAAATCATCTCTCCATAGAGTCAACTTAAGAATAATTTGAGACCATATTATTACGGGTACGACCATTCCAATTTTAGCGCACTGGATCCTATCAAAACTTCATAGTAAAGCATGCTAGGGCGAGAGTAGTACTGGGATAGGTGACCTCTTGGGAAGTTCTCGTGTTGTACCCTTTTTTTATAACCAGCCATCTCTTTTTTTTTGCTAGCTCTTTTCCACAGCCTACGAACCCTTGGTGGTGTTGCCTCGCCGCACATCAAGCAATGAAACCCACATCGTGGCACCCGTGAATGCATCCGATGGGTCCTACGTGGCAACCTCACTGGAACATCAATAACTTTTCCCCTAGAATTTTGATTCGAAATTATGAACCCATTCTGGGAAGCTCATTCAGAGACTGATGGAGCACCGATGGACCATAGGCCCATCGACTGGCTAAATGCAAAAAAATGCATTTTTGATCCCTTACGGTCTTTTAGAACGAAGATGCGTCAAAATCATCTCTCCACGGCATCAACTTATGTATAATTTGAGACCCTATTACGATGGGTGCGACCATACCAGCACTAGTGCATCAGATCCCTTTAGAATTTTGTAGTTAAGCGTGCTTGGGTGAGAGTAGTACTGGGATGGGTGACCTCCTGGGAAGTCCTCGTAATGCACCCTTTTATTTAACCAGGCATCTCTTTTTTTTTTCTAGCTCTCTGCCATGACCTATGAACCCTTGGGGGTGTTGGCTCATCGCGCATCGAGCGATGAAACCCGCATCATGGGTCCCGTGAAGGCATCCGGAAGGTCCTATGTGGTGAATGCATGGGAACATCAATAACATTCCATCCATGATTTTGATTTGGCATTATGACCCCATTCTGCAAAGCTAATTCTAAGCCAGATGGAGCGCAGATGGGTAATAGGCCCATAGGCCAGCCATGCGTAGCAAAGAAATGCTTTTTTGAACCCTTAGGGACTGTCAGATTGAAGATGCATCAAAATTATCTCTCCACATCATCAACTTAAGAATAATTTCAGACCATATTGAAAGTTCGTCAGGGATGTTAAGCCCTATAGAACTGGCCTGAGGCTAACCAAGAGAAGGGGGTGAATTACTATTTAAAAATTTCTTTAAGCAAAAAGAACGATTCTCACAAATCAAATCACCACAAAAACAAGTGTGAAAGAAAATAAATGTGGAAGCAGTAAAAACAAGAACACAAGGGTTTATAGTTGTTCGGTCAACTCAACCTACGTCCACTCCCCGGAGGAGCCCTCCGAGTATTGCACTACCAACGTGACTCTCCTTTAGCCCCCACAGCTAGGCGGAGAAGCCCTCATAAAAATACCTCCTTTTTGCCACACACGGCAAGGCAGAGAACCCAACTCCTTTTGCTTCGTCTTGAAGCAGGAAGAGAACCACGATCACTTGCTGAAACTTACCTCTCCTAACCCTTCCATGGACAAGAGACTCTAGGGAAGAAGAAGTAGAATAATGCTTGGAGCAACCCTTGTGAATCCCCTCACAAGCTCCCCCTCATAAGATCCTCTCTCTGTCTTTCCCTCTCTCTCTCTCCTTTAGGTTTTCTCAGGTGAAGATAGTAGCCAAGGATGTTAAAAAATGTTGAACAAGAACTCTTAAATATAATAGCTTCAAAGGGGCTCATTAATTGCAAGTTACCGACTTTATCGTCCAGGACGATATGGAAATCGTCCTGGCCGATCAGTACAAATCTCATAAGATCGGCCAGAGCATCGCCCTGAATGCAAATTGGGCGATTGAAAATTTGCTTGATCGTCCCAGACGATCTCACGATTGTCCTGGCTGATTAGTTCAAATCAGAGGAAAATTGTCCAGAGCATCGCCCTGAATTTGAGCTGTCCGATCCAAATCGGCCAGCAGTAACCAAGGGTTTTTGAATGGATCTTCCAGGCCGATCTTGTGATCGTCTAGGATGATGTGATCATATCAATCATCCTTAATTACTCCCATTATTTTCGGATCAATTTAGGCATAATAATACAATATCGTCCAGGCCGATCAAATAATCGTCCTGGTCGATTTCCAAAAATATAGAATATTTAAATTGAGCATGGTGGCAATTCCTTTCTGTTTTGAGCATATCATCCTGGCCAATACAGGTATCGTCCATGCCGATCAGTTAATTACGACTGCCTTAACTAAGAAATCCTGATTAGATATTCTATTTTGAACTCGATCGTCCGGGCCGATGTGAGTAAAAACACAAGTTCTAAATCTCTCAAGTGTGTGTGTGTAGGGTTACTTAATTTTTCTATCTCTTCGCCACGGCCTACAAACCCTTGGCGGTGTTGGCTCGCTGCGCATCGAGCGATGAAACCCGCATCATGCGACCCTTAAAGGCATCTGGTGTGTCCTATGTGGCGATCGCGCAGAATCATCAATAACTTTCTGCCCAGGATTTTAATTCGACATTATATCCCCATTCCGGAAAGCTTATTCCGAGCTAGATGAAGCTTCATAGGCCCATCGGCGGGTCATGCGCAATAAAAGAAATGCATTTTTAATCCCCTACGGTCCGTTGGAAAGAAGATGCGTCAAAATTATCTCTCCACGGCATCAACTTAAGAATAATTTGAGACCATATTACAATGAGTGCGACCTTACCAGCATTAATGCACCGAAAGTCCACGTATTGCACTCTTTTTTTTAACTAGCTTTATTTTTCTAGCTCTTTGCCATGGCATACGAACCCTTTGCGTTGTTGTCTCGCCGTGCTTCGAGCGATAAAACCGGCATCGTGGGACCCATGAAGGCATCCGGTGGGTCCTATGTGGCGACCGCGCTAGTAACATTAATAATTTTCCTTCCAGGATTCTGAATCGGCATTATGACCTCATTCCAGAAAGCTTATTCCAAGTCGGATGGAGCGCCATTGGCCATAGCTCTTCTTTATGTCCTATGAACCCTTGGCGATGTAGGCGTGCCACACATTGAGCAATGAAACCGGCATTGTGGGACCCTTGAAGGCATCCGATGAGTCCTATGTAGCGACCGCGTGTGAACATCAATAACTTTCTGCCCAGCATTCTAATTTGCATTATGACCTCATTCCGGAAAGCTTATTCCGAGCTGAATGGAGTGCTGAAGTACTATAGGCCCATCAGCCAGCCATGCGTAGCAAAAAAATGCATTTTTGATCCCCTACGGTTTGTCAGAATGAAGATGCGTCAAAATCATCTCTCCACAGCATTAACTTAAGAATAATTTGATACCATATTACTATAAGTGTGACAGTACCAGTAAAAGTCGGATCCCATCAAAACTCCGTAGTTAAGCATGTTTGGGAGATAGTAGTATTAGGATGGGTGACCTCCTAGGAAGTCCTCATATTACACCCTTCTTTTTAACCATCCATCTCTGTTTTTTTTTTGTAGCTCTTCGCCATGGCCTATGAGCTATTGGCGGTGTTGGCTCGCCGTGCATTGAACGATAAAACCCGCATCATGGGACCCGTAAAGGCATCTAGCGGGACTTATGCGTCGACCAAATGAGAACATCAATAAATTTTCACCCAGTATTCTGATTCGGCATTATGACCGCATTCCAAAAATCTTAATCCAAGCCTGATGGAGCGCCATTGGCCATAGGCCCATCGGCCGGCCAAGCGTAGCCAAAAAATGCATTTTTGATCCCCTACGATTTATCAGAATGAATATACGTCAAAATCATCTCTCAACGGCGTCAACATAAGAGTAATTTGAGACCATATTACCACGGGTGTGACCATACCAACACTAGTGCACCGGATCCCATCAGAACTTGGCAGTTAAGCGTGCTTGCGCGAGAGTATTATTGAGAAAGGTGACCTTCTGGAAAGTCCTCGTGTTGCACCCTTTTTTATCCAGCCATCTCTTTTTTTTCCTAGCTCCATGCCACGGCCTTTGAACCCTTGGTGGTTTTGGCTCACGGCGCATCGAGTAATGAAACCAGCATCGTGGGACCCGTGAAGGCATCCAGCGGGTCTTAGGTTGTGACCGTGCGGGAGCAAAAATAACTTTCCTCCCAGGATTCTTATTTGGCATTATACCCCCATTTCAGAAAGCTTATTTTGAGCCAGATGGAGTACCGAAGTTCCATAGGCCGATCGACCGCCCACGCGCAGCCAAAAAATGTAATTTTGATCTCCTACGGTCTGTCGAAATGAAGATGTGTCAAAATCATCTCTCCACGGCATCAACTTAATAATAATTAGAGACCATATTACTATGGTTGTGACCATACCAGCACTAGTGCACTGGATCCCATCAGAACTCCGTAGTTAAGCATGTTTGGGTGAAAGTAGTACTAGGATGGGTGATCTCCTGGGAAGTCCTCATATTGCACCCTTTTTTTAACCAGCAATCTATATTTTTTTATAGCTCTTCGCCAAGGCCTACGAGCCCTTGGTGGTGTTGGTTCGCCGTGCATCGAGCAATGAAACCCGAATCATGGGACCCGTGAAGGCATCCAGCGGGTCCTATATGGAGACCGCTCGGGAACATAAATAACATTTCACCCCGAATTCCATTTTGGCATTTTGAACGCATTCCGGAAAGCTTATTCCGAGCCGGATGGAGCGTCGTTGGCCATATGCTCGTCGGCCGGCTATGCACAGTCATAAAATGAATTTTTGAACCCCTATGGTTGCGATTATACCCCACCGAATAAAGATGCCTCAAAATCATCTCTCCACGGCATCAACTTAAGAATAATTTGAGACCATATTACTATGGGTGCGATCATACCAGCACTAGTGCACCAGATCCCATTAGAACTCCATAGTTAAGCATGCTTGGGTGAGAGTAGTACTGGGATTGGTGACATCCTGGGAAGTCCTCGTGTTACACCTTTTTTTTTAATCAGCCATCTTTTTTTTTTTCTAGCTCTTCGCCACGGCCTACAAACCCTTAGCGATGTTGGCTCGCCGCTCATCGAGCGATGAAACCCACATCGTGGCACCCGTGAAGGCATCCATCAGGTCCTACATGACGACTACGCGGGAACATCAATAACTTTCCCGCTAGGATTTTGATTTAGCATTATGACCTTATTCCGGAAAGCTTATTCAGAGCCGGATGGAACGCCGATGGGCCATTGGCCCATCGGTCAGCCATACCTAGGGAAAAATGCATTTTTGATCCCCTACGGTCTGTCAGAATGAAGATGTGTCTAAATCAGAATAATTTGAGACCATATTACTATGGGTGCGACCATACCAGCACTAGCGCATAGGATCCTATTAGAACTCCGCAGTTAAGCGTGCTTGGGAGAGAGTAGTACTATGATTGTTGACCTTCTGGGAAGTCTTCGTGTTGCACCCTTTTTTAACCAGCCATCTCTTTTTTTCTAGCTCCTTACCACGGCCTACGAACCCTTGCAAATGTTGGCTTGCCACGTATTGAGCGATGAAACCTATATCGTTGGACTTGTGAAGGCATCCGGTGGGTCCTACGTGGAGACCGCGCAGGAACTTCACAAATGTTTCGCTTAGGATTCTTATTTGGCATCATAAACGCATTCCGAAAAGCTTATTTTGAGTTGGATGGAGCACCGTTGGCCTTAAACCCATCGGTTGGCCATGCGCAGCCAAAAAATGTATTTTTGATCCCCTGCGATCTGTCGGATTGAAGGTGCATCAAAATCATCTCTCCACAGCTTCAACTTAAGAATAATTTGTGACCATATTACTACCGGTGTGACCAAACCAGCACTACTACATCGGATCCCTTTAGAACTCCACAGTTAAGCATGCTTGGGTGAGAGTAGTACTGGGATGGGTGACCTCCTAGGGGAAGTCCTCATGTTGCACCCTTTTATTTAACCAGCCATTTCTCCTTTTTTTTTTTTATTTAGCTCCAAGCCAAGGCCTACGAACCCTTGTTGGTGTTGGCTCGCCGTGCATCAAGCGATGAAACTCGCATCGTGGGACCCATGAAGGCATCCGGCGGGTTCTATGTGGCGACTGCGCGGAAATATAAATAACTTTTCTCCGAGGATTCCGATTAGGCATTATGACCCCATTTTGGAAAGCTTATTCCAATCCTGATGGAGCGTCGATGGACATATGCCCACCGGCCGGCCAAACGTATCCAAATAATGCATTTTTGATCTTTTACGGTCTATCAGAATGAAGATGAGTCAAAATCATCTCTCCAAGGTTTCAACTTAGGAATAATTTGCAACCATATTACTATAGGTGTGACCATACTAGCACTAGTGCACCGGATCCCATCAAAACTCCACAATTAAGCGTGCTTGGGCGACAATAGTACTGGGATGGATGATCTCCTGGGAAGTCCCGATATTGCACCCTTTTTTTTAACCACCCATCTCTTCTTTTTTCTAGCATTTCACCACGGCCTATGAACTGTTGCAAGTGTTGGCTCGTCGTGTATTGAGCGATGAAACCCACATCGTGTGACCATTGAAGGCAGGTGGTGGGTCCTATGTGGCGACAGCGCAGGAAAATTAATAACTTTCTGCCTAGGATTCTCATTCGGCATTATGTCCCCATTCCGAAAAGTTTATTCCGAGCTGGATGGAGCACCGAAGCGCTATAGACCCATCGGCTAGCCATGCACAGTAAAAAAATGCATTTTTGATCCCCTACAGTCCGTCAGAATGATGATGCGTCAAAATCATCTCTCTACGGCGTCAACTTAAGAATATTTTGAGACCATATTATTATGGTTGCGACCATAACAACACTAGTGTACCGGATCCCATCAAAACATCACAGTTAAGCGTGCTTGTGCGAGAGTAGTACTAGGATGGGTGACCTCTTGTGAAGTCCTCGTATTGCACACTTTTTTTAACCAGCCAATTTTTTTTTCTAGCTCTTCGCCATGGCCTACAAACCCTTGGCTGTGTTGTCTCTCTGCCCATCGTGCGATGAAAACGGCATCATGGGACCCGTGAAGGCATCCGGTGGGTCCTATCTGGCGACCACACGAGAATATCAATAATTTTCCATGTAGGATTCTGATTAGGCATTATGACCAGATTCTAGAAAGCTTATTCATAGCCGGATGGAGCGCTGTTGTCTATAGCTCTTCGCCACGGCCTACGAAACCTTGGCGGTGTTAGCTCACCGTGCATCAAGTGATGAAACCCGCATCATGGAATCCTTGAAGGCATCCAGGTGGTCCTATATGGCGACTGCACGGGAACATCAATAAATTTTTGCCCAGGAATGAGATCCGGCATTATGGCCCCATTCCGGAAATCTTATTTCGAGCCAGATGGAGCGCTATAGTGACACAGGACGATCGGCCGGCCATGCACAACAAAAAATGAATTTTTGATCCTCTACAGTCCATTGGAATGAAGGTGCATCAAAATCATCTCTCCACAATGTTAACTTAAGAACTCTGTAGTTAAGCATCCTTGGGCGATAGTAGTACTGGGATGGGAGACCTCTTGGAAAGTCCTCGTGTTGCACCCTTTTTTAACCAGCAATCTCTTTTTTTTTTTTCTAACTCCTCGACGTGGCCTACGAACCCTTGGCAGTGTTGGCTCGCCGTACATCAAGCCATGAAACCCGCATCATGGGACCCGTGAAGGAATCCGGTGGGTCCAATGTGGTGACCGAGCAGGAACATCAATAAATTTCCACCCATGATTCCGATTCGGCATTATGACCGCATTTTGGAAACCTTATTTTGAGCCGGATGGAGTGCCATTGGCCAAGGGCCCTACGGCCAGCCAAGAGCAGAAAAAAAAAAGCATTTTTGTTCCCATACGGTCTCTCGGAATGAAGATGCGTCAAAATCATCTCTCCACTGTGTCAACTTAAGAATAATTTGAGACTATATTACTACGGGTGTGACCATACCAACACAAGTGCATCGGATCCCATCAGAACTCCGTAGTTAAGCGTGCTTGGGCGAGAATAGTATTAGGATGGGTGATCTCCTGGGAAGTCTTCGTATTTCACCAGACATTAGAAAGTCCGGGCAGCGTCCTAATTGGATTGGACAGGGCATTTGGGCTGATTTGAGTAGTGCTTGGGAAACCCCTGAGTTTATAAAAATGAGAGAGCAGAATAAACAGAACAGAGCCTTTGACTATGTCGGTTTAGGAAGCTCTCTTCATACTGGTGGATCTGTACCTCATACGGAACATAGGCGTCACCTGGTAAGTGTTTTGAATTAGTTTATTACATATATTTATGTTATTATAACTATTTCTTAAATTTTCAGAAACAGTCCCTTGGTCGGGAGCCAACACCACTAGAGTTGCATACAAGAACTCATCAACATCAAGCTGACCATCAGTGGGTTGATGAGAAGTCTAAGATGGCTCATGTGAGTAAAATTTTTTGGAGTTTTAGAATAAAAATTTATTTTAGTAAAAGTAATTGTAACTCGCAGGATAATTTCGTATGAGCTAGAGAAAGTCGGCAGTCCACTGGCGAGGGATCATCTTCAGGATCGACCCATATTTCTGAGTATCATACATGGTTAAAAGTTGTTGGTGGAAGACATAGGGGAAGGGTATATGGTATGGGTTCACAGGCTTTTGCTATTGAGGGAAGTTCATCCACCTCTGCATTTCATGATCCAGGTGGAGCTGAAGAATCTGTAAGCGAGAGGTTACAGCGCTGAGTAGAGAGATTGAAGAGATGAGAAGGGTTCATAATGAAATGCAAGCAGAGTTGCAATCCTACAGAGCTGAAAATCAAAGGAAGAAGGAGCAAGAGGAGAAGCCATCTGCAGAAAGTGAGGATACAACCGAGGATTAGATATTTTTTATGTTTGATGATTGTATTTAGAACTTGTGAACTTGTGATTGTAACCTTATGATGAACAAACTTGTGAACTTGTGATTGTAACCTTTATGTTTGATGATTGTAATCTTGTGAAATTGAAACTTGTGATTGTATTTAGAATTTATGGTTCTGATGAATAGAGCGGCGTGTTGCACAAAATGTATTGCTTTTTCTGCAGGTTTAAACTTTAGGGTGAACCTCCCTCAAATAGAGGGAATGCTGTCAATTTTTTTTTTGCAGGTGCTACAGGTTTCCGGCGGCTTACCAGCGGTTTGGCCGCCGGAAACTACGATACTGGACGGACAATACTAAACCTCCGGTAATGTCATTACACCACCAGTGTTTAACTGGCGGTTACCGATGGTTGCCGGCGGTGTTACTGTGGACGTCCGGTGGTGTACACCGTCGGTAATACCGACGGCTTCAACCGCCGGGTACCAACGGTAATTTAACCGGCGGTCTATCGGCGCTTGCCGGCGGTTTAGCAAACACACGACCCCCGCTTTAACCGCCAGACGACCGTCGGTAATATGACCTTTGATTAGCTGTCGGTCAACTAACCGGCGGCGTGACGGCCAGAAAATCGCCGGTTAAAAATCCTGTTGTCACCGGCGGTATAAGCCGCCGGACAACCGCCGGTAATAGACCACAGGTATTAGTTTCCTACGCCATTTTTACCGGCGGCTTGAATACCGCCACAAAGCCGTCGATAAAGAGGATAACCGACGGTTTAGCCATAGTAACTGCAGGAAAAAACTGCCGGTTTTTGGCTTTTTCCCTGTATTGAAAAACCTACCTCCTATTTTTTTTCTTAAATTCTTATGTAAGTTGTGGTTGATTTCTCCAAAAATAGTTAAAGGAAAGAAACTCATGATTTTGTCTCTCTATCTCTTTTATTAAAAATGTTATTTTAATTTTAATTTTAAATTTTCATCATATTATAAATTGGATCTTGAAACTATTTTTTTTTCATCTCCTTACATTTTATTTATCGCATAGAATTCTTTTGCAAATTGTTGAATCTACCTCATAATTTTCTTAATCAAGTAATTCATTTTATCATTAGAATGTGTTTACTTTTGTATTTAAAATTTTTTGAAAAGGTGGCATATTTAATTAAAAAAATGGTCAATGACGCCAAATAGAAAAAGTGGCCAATGATGCCAAATTAAAAGATGCGCAATGATGCCAAATTAAGAAAAATACATAAAGTATATCAAAAGAAAAGATGCGCAAAGTGCATAAAAAACTGACAAGAGGCATAAAATGAGCCCACAATGAGTATGCTTACTTTTTCTGTTTTACTCAAAGCTTAAGAAAACCCTTGATATTTTCGATACTTGATCTTGAAAATCATTATTCTTGATTCACCAATTTTTGCATTAATCTTCTATTAGATATGTTTTATGAAAAGAGTTTTTGAAAAATTAGTGTTTCTTCTTCTAATTTGTTCCTTGATTTATATATTGGATTAAAAAGTTTTTGAGCCTTTAAAAGAACTTAAGCTTGGATTAACAATTTTTGAATTTCTAACCTTTTTATGGATTATGCATTGTCAATCCATTCCTTACTAAGTTTTTGAATAAAATTAAGATGTAACTTTCTCATTTTAAGAATATTTAATTTAGTGCTCACTTGATCAGGGATCATTTTTTGTCATTTAAACTTTTTTATTGTTTGTGCCCCTTGTCTTTTTGATATTGTCAAAGGGGGAGAATATAATGTTGTATTTGTATCTTTTTTCCTTTTAAAAAATTAAAAGCTTAAAAATTTGATTTCCCCTACCTCTTAAAGTTTTATTTTAGTAAGGGGGAGATTAGGAGAAAAATTTCCCCTACTTTTTAAAGTTTTATTTTAGTAAGGGGGATATTAGGAGAAAAGTTTTCTTTTTGTAAATTCAACCAGTAATATTTGTCATCATCAAAAAGGGGGAGATTGTTGCAGACTTTTTTTCATGGATAATAATTTTTATGATAGCAAACACTCTTATTTCTCTACGACTGCCTTATCTACTGACATTTCAGATCCACAAGATCAAACTGCAATTTGGAACCAGCTCAAGATTGGGTAGACTAGGTTTGAGTCAGCTTGTAATGTTTTTCTTTCTTGAGTCTATTATATTTGGTGTCGCTCCTAATGCTTTGTAAACTTGCTTATACACACCTTGGAAGAATTTTTAACTGTTCCCTAGAGTTTACTATTTTTGGTAACATTGTCCGGGACGATATTTATATTAGCCTGGACGATCGGTTCAAAAATAGTAACCCTAATTAGGGAATTATCTTCATTAAGGCACCCTTCATTAAGCCGATCGGCCTGGATGATCCTTGTATCGGCTAGGATGATAGACTCAAATCAGAATGAATATGCTGCCATGATCAATTTAGGTATTCTTTATTTTGAGACATCGGCCAGGATGACTTATACATCGGCCTAGATTATGCATCACAATTATGCCTAAGTTAATCTGATAATTATAGAAAGTAATTAAGGCTGATTGATATGATCACATCGGCCGGGTCGATCGATCACAGGATCGGCTGGGATGATGGACGGGATGATTGACAACGGCCAGACTCTATTCCGAGCGATGTTCAGGATAATTGTACTCATATTTAAACTAATCGGCTAGGACGATATTGTATCGGCCTGGACGATGTAACCAATTTTCTTTTGATCATCTCAAATCGTTCCGGCTGGTTGAGCTTATTTTGTACTGATCGGCCAAGATGATATTCATATCGGACTAGATGATAAAGTTGGCAAGTTGCATTAATGAACACATTTTGAGATCTTTTATTTAAATTTTTGACAAGCCACTTTTATAAGTGTCTTTGGCAGCCATTGTAGCTTCGTTCTTTTGGGGGAAACTTGAAGAGAGAGCTTGAAAGGGAGTGAGGAACAGGTGAAGTTTGAGAGAGGGAGAAGATTCTATAAGGAGTGGACGTAGGTCAAGGTTTGACCTAACTACTATAAATCTGGTGTGTTCTTTCCTTTATTATTTTCGTATTTAATTTTTGCATTTTGTTTTCTTACTGGTGAATTTTGATTTGGTTTTATGCTTTGATTATATGAAGATTTTTTAAAATGCCAATTCAGCCCCTCTATTGGTTAATCTTGGCCCAGTTCTTAAGGGCTTAACATCCCTAACAAACTTTCACACCGGATCCCACCAGAACTCCAAAGTTAAGCGTGTTAGTGCGAGAGTAGTAATGGGATGGGTGACCTCTTGGGAAGAGCTCGTGTTGCACCCTTTTTTTTAGCCAGCCATCTCTCTTTTTTTTCTAACTATTCGCCACAGCCTGCAAACCCTTGGTGGTGTAGTCTTGCCGTGCATCGAGCAATGAAACCAGCATCGTGGGACCCGTGAAGGCATCCGGCAGGTCCTACGTAGTGATCGTGCAGGAATATCAATAACTTTCTGCCTAGGAATCTGATTCGGCATTATGACCCCATTTCTAACAACTTATTCCGTTCCAGATGGAGCGCTGATGAGTCATAGGCCCATCTGCCAGCCATGCGTAACTAAAAAATGTATTTTTTTATCTACTAAGGTCTGTCGGAATGAATATGCTTCAAAATCATCTCTTCACAGAGTCAACTTAAGAGTAATTTGAGATATATTACTATGGGTGCGACTGTACCAGCACTAGTGCACCAGATCTGATCAGAACTCCGCAATTAGGCGTGCTTGGGTGAGAGTAGTACTGAGATGGATGACCTCCTGGGAAGTCCTCGTGTCGCACCCTCTTTTTTAACCAGCCATCTCTTTTATTTTTTTTTTCTAGCTCTTTGCCACGGCCTACGAACCCTTGGCGATGTTGTCTCGCCTCGCATTGAGCGATGAAACCAGCATCGAGGCACCCGTGAAGGCATCCGACGGGTCTTATGTGGCGACCGCGCGGGAACATCTATAAATTTTTCCCAGAATTCTGATACGGCATTATGAACACATTATGGATTGCTTATTCCAAGCCGGATGGAGCTCCGATGCGACATAGGCCCATCGATCGGCCATGCACGGCAAAAAAATGCATTTTTGATCCCCTACGGTCTATCAAAATGAGGATGCATCAAAATCATCTCTACACGGCATCAACTTAAGAAAAATTTGAGTCCATATTACTACGTGTGCGACCATACCAGCAGTAGTGCACCAGATTCTATCAGAACTCCACAGTTAAGCATGTTTGGGCAAGAGTAGTAATGGGATGGGCAACCTCCTGGGAAGTTCTCGTGTTGTACCATTTTGTTTAACCAGCCATCTCATTTTTTTTCTAGCTCTTCACCACGGCCTACAAACCCATGGAGGTGTTGGCTCACCGCGCATCGAGTGATGAAACCCACATCATGGCACCCGTGAAGGCATCTGACGGGTCCTACGTGGCGAACGAACAGGAACATCAATAACTTTCAGCCCAGGATTTTGATTCGGCATTATGACCCCATTCTGGAAAGCTTATTCTGACCCGGACGGAGCGCCAATGTGCGATAGGCCCATCGGCCGGCCATAAGAAGCGAAAAAAATGCATTTTTAATCCCCTACGGTCTGTTGGAATGAAGATGCATAAAAATCATCTCTCCACGGCGTCAGCTTAAGAATAATTTGAGACCATATTACTACGGGTGCGACTAAACCAGCACTAGTGCACCGGATCCCATCAGAACACCGCAATTAAGCATGCTTGGGCGAGAGTAGTACTGGGATGGGTGACCTCCTAGGAAGTCCTAGTATTGCACCTTTTTTTTAACCAGCAATCTATTTTTGTTTTCCTAGCTCTTCGCCACAGCCTACGAACCTTTGGCGGTGTTGGCTCATCGTGCATCGAGCGATAAAACCTGCATCGTTGGACCTGTGAAGGCATCCGGCTGGTCCTACATAGTGACCGCACAGGAACATCAAAAACGTTTCACCCAAGATTCAGATTCAGCATTATGACCCCATTGAAGAAAGCTTATTCTGCACCGGATGGAGCTCTGATGGGCCATAGGCCTCTAAAGGCCATGCACGACCAAAAAAATGTATTTTTGATTCCGTACGGTCTATCGAAATGAAGGTACGTCAAAATCATTTCTCCACGGTGTCAACTTAAAAATAATTTAAGACCATATTATTATGGATGCGACCATTCTAGCACTACTGCACCAGATCCCATCAGAACTCTGTAGTTAAGTGTGCTTGGGCGAGGGTAGTACTGGGATGGGTGACCACCTAGAAAGTTCTCGTGTTGCACCTTTTTTTTTAAACAACCATCTCTTTTTTTTCCTAGCTCTTTGCCACAGCCTATGAGCCTTTGGCGGTGTTGGCTCACCGTGCATCGAGCGATAAAACTCGCATTGTGGGACCCGTGAAGGCATCCTGCTGGTCCTACGTAGAGACACCGCAGGAACATAAAAAATGTTTTTCCCAGGATTCAGATTCAGCATTATGACCCCATTAAAGAAAGCTTATTCTGTGCCGGATGGAGCACCGATTGCCATAGGCCCATCGGTAGGCCATGCGCAGCAAAAAAATGAATTTTGATCCCGTACGGTTTGTAGGAATGAAGCTGCGTTAAAAGCATCTCGCCACAGCGTTAACTTAAGAATAATTTGAGACCATATTAATATGGGTGTGACCATACCAGCACTAGTGCACCGGATCCCGTCAGAACTCCGCAGTTAAGCATGCTTGGGCAAGAGTAGTACTGGGATGGGCGACCTCCTGGGAAGTTCTCGTGTTGCGCCCTTTTTTTGAACCACTCATATCTCATTTTTCTAGCTCTTCGCCACCGCCTACGAACACTTGGTGGTGTTAGCTCGTCGTATATCGAGCAATGAAACCCGCATCGTGAGTCCTGTGAAGACATCCAGTGGGACCTACAAGGCGACCGCGTGGGAACATAAATAACTTTCTGCCGAGGATTCCGATTCGGCATTATGACCCCCTTCCAAAATGTCTATTCTGAGCCAAAAAATAAATTTTTAATCCCCTACGGTCTGTCTGAATGAAGCTGCATCAAAATCATCTCTCCACGACGTTAACTTAAAAATAATTTGAGACCATATTAATACGGGTGCGACCATACCAGCACTAGTGCACCGGAACCCATCAAAACTCTACAGTTGAGCATGCTTGGGAGAGAGTAGTTCTGGGATGGGTGACCTCCTGGGAAATTTTATGTTGCTCCCTTTTTAGAACCACTCATCTCTTTTTTTTTCTAGCTATTCGCCACGACCTACGAACGCTTGGCGGTGTTGGCTCGCCGTGCATCGAGTGATGAAACCCGCATCGTGAGTCCCATAAAGGCATCCAGCGGGTCGTATGTGGCGACCGTGTGGGAACATCAATAACTTTCCGCCCATGATTCTGATTCGGCATTATGGCCCCATTCTAAAAAGCCTATTCCGAGCCGAAAAATGCATTTTTGATCCCCTATGATTTGTTGGAATGAATATGCATCGAAATCATCTCTCCATGGTATCAACTTAATAATAATTTGAGATCATATTACTTTGTGTGCGACCATACCAGCCCTAGTGCACCGGATCTCATCAAAACTTTGCAGTTAAGCTTGCTTGGGTGAGAGTAGTACTAGGATGAGTGACCTCTTGGGAAGTCATCGTGTTACACACTTTTTTCTGACCAGCCATCTCCTTTTTTTCTAGCTCTTCACCATGGCCTATGAACCCTTGGCTGTGTTGGCTCGTCGCGCATCGAGCAATGAAACCTGCATCGTGGGACCCGTTAAGGCATCCGACGGATCCTACATGGAGACCGTGTTGGAATATCAATTTCTTTTCGCCCATGATTCCGATTCAACATTATGACCCCATTATGAAAAGCTTATTCTGAGACAGATGGAGCGCCGATGGCCATAAGCCCATCGGCCAGCTATGCACAGCCCAAAAAAGCATTTACTATCCCCTACGGTCTGTCAGAATGAAGATGCATAAAAATCATCTCTCCATGGTGTCACCTAAAGAATAATTTGAGACTATATTACTACGGGTGCGACCATACCGGCACTAGTGCACCGATCCCATCAAAACTCCATGGTTAAGCGTGCTTGAGCGAGAGTAGTATTAGGATGAGTGATCTCCTGGGAAGTCCTTATGTTGCACCCTTTTTTTTAACCAGCCATCTCCTTATTTTTTTTCTAGCTCTTCGCCACGACCTATGAATCCTTAGCGATGTTGGCTCCCCACTAATTGAGTGATAAAACCCGCATCGTCGGACCTGCGAAGGCATCCGGCGGGTAGTACGTGGAGATCGTGTGGGAACATCAATAACTTTCCACCCAGTATTCTAATTTGGCATTATGACCCCATTTTGGAAAGCTTATTCTAAGCCGGATGGAGCGCCGACGTGCCAAAGTCCCATCGGCTGGCCATGCATAGCCACAAAATGCATTTTTGATCCCTTACAGTCTGTCAGAATAAAAATGCATCAAAATCATCTCTCAACGGTGTCTGTTGCAGATTTGGTTTCATGAATTATGATTTTGATGATAGCAAACAATATGACTGCCTTTACTCTACTAACTGTTTAGGACTCAAAGATCGAACGAAAATTGGAATCAGCTCAAGATTGGGTAGATTAGGGTTGAGTCAGTCTGTAATTTTCTTTTTTTTTTCCATTTCTTGAGTCAATTGTAAATGTTTGAAGTGACTGATGTTAAGTAACCCTACACACACACACTTGAGAGGTTTAGAATTTGTATTTTTACTCACATCGTCCCGGATGATACGTATATCGTCCTGGATGATCGAGTTCAAAATAGAAGTTTTAATCAGGATTTCTTAGTTAAGGCAGCCGTAATTAACTGATCATCCTCTACGATACATTTATCAGATAAGAAGATATGCTCAAAAAAGAAAGAAATAGCCGCCATGATCAATTTAGGTATTCTGTATTTTTGGCAATCGGCCAGGACGATCGTGAGATCTGCCTGGACGATATTACACAATTATGCCTAAATTGATCCAAGAATCAAGGAAGTAATTAAGGATGATTGATACGATTACATCGTCCTAGACGATTGCAGGATCAGCTAGGACGATCTATTCAAAAACCCTTAGTTATTCCAAGATGATAACTGTCGGCCAGCTCAATTTCAGGGCGATGCTCTGGATGATTTTTCTCTGATTTGAACTGATGGGTGGGGATGATTGTTAGATTGGCCTAGACGATCAAGAAAATTCTCAGTCATCCATATCATCTTCAGGGCAATGTTCTGGCCGATTGTCTGTGTTTTGAATTGATCATACATGACGATATTATCGTCCTGGACGATAAAGTCGGAAACTTGCAATTATTGAGCTCTTCTGAAGCTCTTCTATTTAAGTGCTCTTATTCAACATTTTTTGAGGATCTTTGGCTGCTATCTTGACCTGAGAAAACCTAAAGGAGAGAGAGAGAGGGGATCTTATGAGGGGGAACTTGTGAGGGAGTTCACAAGGGTTGCTCCAAGCATTGTTCCACTTCTTCTTCCCCAGAGTCACTTTCCCTTGGAAGGGTTGAGAGAGAGGTAAGATTCAGAAATCGATCGAGGTTCTCTCCCTGCTTCAGGAGGAAGCAAAAGGAGTTTGGTTCTCTACCTTGCCGGGTGTGGCAAAAGGAGTTATTTTGTAAGGGCTTCTCCGCCTAGCTGTGGGGGCTAAAGGAGAGTCACGTTGGTAGTGCAATACTCGAAGGGCACCTCCGGGGAGTGGACGTAGGTCAAGTTGACCAAACCACTATAAACCCTTGTGTTCTTTTTACTGCTTCCGCACTTTAATTTTTTGCACTTGTTTTTATGTGATGATTTTGATTTGTGATATTTGTTCTTGGTTTTAAAGAATTTTTAAAAATATCAATTCACCCACCTCTTGGTTAGCCTTGGGACTAGTTCATAGGGCCTAACATCCCTAACGAACTTTCAAGTGGTATCAGAGCGGGATTTATAAAAACAAAGTTTGAAAACTTTTTGAATTTTGATCCATGGGTAACTTTGGGAATCGTAATACAACTGAAGTATATTCTATTACACGACCTCCCTTATTTTACAACCTCTCTTTTAATTTTTAGAAAAGTTGCATGTCTACTTTTTTGTAATCAACTGACTATCGCATGTGGATGCTTATTAAAGAAGGATATTCTCCACCTTCTCATGAAATTAACAGAATTAAAACTAAAATTACTTTTACTGAATGGACTACCAATGAAAGAGATTTAGCTCAATTTAATGCAAAGTGTTTGAACTATTTTTTCTGTGCTTTAGATTCTGAGGATTACATGTGTGTTTCTACTTGCTCTACTGGAAAAGAGATTTGGGATAGGTTGTGCATTACTTATGAAGGAACCAATGAGGTAAAATAATCTCGTTTGAATATTCTCTTGCATGACTATGAACTTTTTCGTATGAAACCATCTGAATCAATTTCTGATATGTATACACGGTTCACTCAAATTGTAACTTCTTTGCATGCCTTAGGAAAATAACTTTCAAACTATGAAAAAGTGAACAAGATTTTGAGATGTTTGCCTTCGTCTTTTGATGCTAAAATCACTGCAATCACTGAATCTAAGGATTTAAATACTTATTCAATTGATAACTTACTTGGCTTACACATTTCTTACGAGCAAGGGCTGAATTAAAGAAATCTTGATGCAGATGAGAAAAAGAAAGAGAAAATAGTGGCACTAAAGGCGCACAAATCAGACTCTGACTCTTCCGGGTCTGAAAGCGATAACTTTGCCTTAATCACAAAGCAATTCAAAAGCTTTCTAAGGAAGAAGCACAAGCATCATCAAAGTTGGAGAAAATGTAAGGATAATAAATATCCTAAAGGATCGTCTGATGTGGTTTGTTATGAATGCAGAAAGCCAGGACACGTGAAAGCAGATTGCCCTACGCTTAAGACGCATACAAGCAAGAAAAAGAGTGAGGAGAAATCCAAGTTTAGAAAAGATAAAAAGAGACTCCAAAAGGCATTTTGGGCGGATTCTACATCGGATTCATCGGAGATGGAACCAGAAGATTAGACAGCAAACTTGTGCTTAATGGAAAATGATAATCTTGATCAAGAAGAGGTATGTGAACTTTCCTACGATCAACTTCTTGAAGTTTCTAAAATAAATTCATGCATCATATAGGAAACTTAAGAAAATACATGATAGCTTGAAATTAGAATTTTTGAATTTACAAAAAGTGCATGAAGTTATTCTCAAAGATCATTTTATGATTGTTCAAATCACATGACTCTACTTGATGAATTTGATGAGTTGAATAAAAAGCATTGTGAATTAATTGAAGAGCATGAGTCACTAAAAGTCACACACACATCACTTGAATCTAAGTTTAAGAATTCTAAAGAGATGGAGAAAAAATTGAGGATTGATAATGATGCCTTAAAAAGTATTAACTTGAGAATTCAAAATGATACATTTAAGAAAACTAGGATGACACCAACACTTGATCAAAATCCAAAACCTAGGAAGAGGCATTATAACTCAATCCATTTAAGGAATCCTTTTCCATGTGTTAGATGTTTGTCATGTGGCATGCTAGGACACATCTCACACACTTGTAGTATTCACCATAGTACACATTGGGTGTGGAGACCAAAGGTGCATGATTTACAGCATACCACACATGTATTACATCCTACTTTTCATACGAAGGGACCCAAACCTGTTTGGGCTCCTATATCGGACATTTAATAATTTTGTAGGTGGGCTCTCACAAAAGGCCTCGTGAGAGTATGT